TACTTTCTGCCCCTCTGTTATCTGCTATCTACAAGGAAAACAATAGTGTCACAGAGAAGAAACAAATTAGTTCAAGATGCCAAATGCCAGGAAGAAGGCATCCTCCCTCAAGATAGATGCCTAAGTTGTTATGGGGATGTTTGTGATAAGGAATTTAAAACCAGCCTAGTTCATACCAGCTTCAAGGATGCTGCACATTCCTTTATATTTCAATTTTATTAAGGCGATCCCATTCATCTGAGGCCTCTAAAAACTTGCTTCTTTCACCCAAAGGTATATTTTCCTTGTAAAATTGTTTTGATAAGGAATTTAAAACCAGCCTAGTTCATACCAGCTTCAAGGATGCTGCACATTCCTTTATATTTCAATTTTATTAAGGCGATCCCATTCATCTGAGGCCTCTAAAAACTTGCTTCTTTCACCCAAAGGTATATTTTCCTTGTAAAATTGTTTCATATTTTGGGTAGTCCAAAGACCAATGAAGAGCCACCTGCATTTTGCTTGCTCCACATTTGTTATAGTTGGTGCACAATATTACAACCAACAACACTTCTCTCTTCCAAGGCCATCCAAGGAGATATCTGAGCTTCCTTTTTCCTTTTTCAAACCCTACACTCACTGCACAGATGCAAAATGTCAGTAAATCAAAACTGTATAACTGTTATATCTGTATTTCACATTAGATGTCATCAGTAGGGCATACTATTCCTCATTTATTTAAAGGAATGTATAAACTCCCTTTCTAGTTTTTTTTTTTTTAAACATGATAAATTACAATGCAAAGACAAGTCATTTTGCAACACAGCAGCTATTATACAGGAAGATATCTGAAAATATGCAGTTTACTTTTTTAAAGGGAAAACTATAATAGTTGGTTAAAAAGTATTAGCTCATCCCAGGTCATCATGAGTCCGACCCATATAACTGTCACACATTGGACATGTCCTTTATCTCAGAGCAGATGACATGTGATCTGCTGTTGTGGAATATTTCCATTAATCCCTGAGATCATTTTCTCAGAACAGCTAGGTTGACTGGAAACACTAGCCTCCACAAGAGATCAGGCCAAGTCAGATAGCTCATATCAGATGCCTGATTGGATCCAGTTTCCAGATGGCGCTTGGGGAATTTCCCAATGATCTGAAGACAGCTGAATGCTTCGTTGACCTAGCTGAAGATATAGGTAGGAAGGGTGCTAGACAGGACATCTCCCAAGTAGCCTCTTCATACTTGCAGATGCCAGAAAGCTCCTTGGCATTCTGAGGAGTTCCAGGAAATTCATGCTGGAGTACTAGTATAATTTTTACTGTAGTTATACCCTGCATTTCTGATATTGTGTGTTATTGTTATGACTGCATAGGCTGAAGCTGTTGCTTTTGTACCCTGCTTAAAGAAACCTTGACTGAAGCAGTTTATAAATTCATAAATGAATACATGTAAAATAGACAATATTAGTACAATTAGTATTGCTGGAGGAGGAGGAGGAGGAGGAGGAGGAACAGTAGCAGCTGTGGGCCCCCTACTTTACATACTGGGATGACTTTGCTATGGGTTTTTCTGTATACCACTTAGACTCGCAAACTAGTTTTAGTTTGGAAAATTAGAAAACAAGCTGCTTGCCAATTCTTCATAACTCTCTAGTTCTACTCTTCCACTTAGTAAAAACAGGGAAGAAAGTGGGATGATATTGCACATATTCATACTTCTGTTACAAAATCTATTTTGCATCTGCTTCCAAACCTCTTGAGCAGTAGCACTCAGTTAGAATACACAGAGGCCAAGGGAACTGGATATCTAAAGATGATAAGAATGTAAAAGATTAAGCAGAAACCTCAGGGCAGGAAACACAGCTGGACAGGATGACATTACTCTCTGGAAGCAACTGCATAATGCAAAACTTGCAGTAAGTACCTGGACTACTGCTTCATTAAAAAATAGATGAGATTGCTGCTAGAAGAAGAATGACAAAGGAAATTATTTTTGATCTATGATAAGTAGGAAAAAACTAACATAAGGAGGATCTTATGGCAGATGCTTAGATTGCTGTAAATGAGTAATGTCTCTGAAGCCAGCAGCATGATATTCCCAGGGATGCTGAAGAAGCTTGCATTTCTTATTTCAAAGCCTTTGTCTGCAATTTTTGAGAATTCAGTCAGTCAGTCAGAGAATTCTGAGAGAATTCCAGGACACAGACATGTTATCTCTGAAAAGTGTAGAAGGACGGATAGGAAATTAAGATTAGATAGCTGGATATTAATAAAGGCAAAACAGATTATTAAAGATCAGTTAGAGAAAAAAGTATGTGCTTTTTATTGAGCCAACCTACATTTATCAACAATTAGTTAATCCAACGAAAAATCCTTATCTTTTTTCCAAATTAGTATGATACATGTGGGAAAACCAAGAATATAGTACATTTTGATTTCAGCATAATAAGCTAGAAGCTCCTCATTATCTCTTTGCTGGTAAAGAAGTAAAATGTATGCTGGATGACACTCCTATATTTATTTAGAATTATTTGGCCACCCATCTTGCCATAGCGACTTTGGGTAGCTAACAACAGATAAAAACACAAATAAAAACAAAAAACAACCAAAACTTAAAACCTATAAAGCCGTGCATATATGTACAAGGAATCAAAGCAACAGATATGAGAGAACAGATATAGCCCAGGGATGTGAAAAGGACCCAGGTATCTTAGCTCATGTGATGCAGCTGCTTAGAAAGCCAATCTTACATTGCAAAAACAGATAGTGTCTGCATCAGAAGAAGTAATTACTCTATCCTGTTATATTCTAGAGTATTATGGCCATGTCTATGTGCTACATTTTAATAAGGCCATTAATAAATCAGAGTTGGGAAACCAAATTCTAACAGGAATAATTGAATAAACTGAATAGGTTTAGACTGAAAAAGAGAAAATTAAAGAGACATTAAACACAATCTGCAAACGTCTGATAATGTCATGCAGAAGGCATGAGAAGTATCCATGGATGCAAACTGGAAAGGAAGCAGACTTTGGATAAACATTAGATGTTAACCGTGAAAGTTGTCAGACAGTGTAACAGATTGCTTTAAGAAGTAAAAGGGTCTCTCACTAGGAATATTTAAGCAGATGCTGAATGGTGTAGATGCATCCTCTATTGCACATCCTGTATTGTGCAGGAAAGCAGGCAAAATGTCATGTGAGGTCCCTTTCAAATGCATGAGACTATGACAAAAGGTGGACAACAAAGAAAACTACCTGTATCCTTTATCACGCAATTAATTATATACATAATTAAAGCAAGCATCTATAATGTGAGATAAATTTATCAGACACAGAAGGTGAAATGGACATAGCATCTTTACCTGTTGTGGGGGTACAGTGAATTACTGTTTGGCCTGGTTCTTTCTTTTCAACACTGCTTAAGTCATCTACATCTGGTACACCTAGATTAAAAGGACAGAAAATCAGGTTGAATTCTGTCATGCTTGATGTATTTCATTTTTTAAAAAATGCAACTTAAGACACTAACATTTTTTTCCTTCAAGTCAATCTTGACTGCCTGGAAAAGTCCCAGCAGTTTTCTTGGCAAGATTTTCAGAGGTGGTTTGCCATTGCCGCCTCCTTCCTAGGACTGAGACAGAGTGACTTGCCCCAAGGTCACCCAACTGGCTTTGTGCCTAAGGCAGGATTAGAACTCATGGTCTCCTAGTTTCTAGACCTGTGCCTTTAACCACTACACCAAACTGCCTCTCTCACATTAAATTAGGATTCCTTAAAGCAGGAGTAAGCAACAGAGTGTTCAGGGGCATTGCCATAAACACCTATCAAGCCCTCATTAGAAATTTGTAAAAAGATAAGCAATGAGAAGCTAACATTCTGTAAAATGAAGTATCAGGCTTCAGCATATTCTTTATTTACAAGAATGTGTTTGGGCCACTCAGATCCTACTAGTATTCTTTAAAAAATAAAGGCGATGGGTGCTACACCCCATGACCCTTGCTTCTAGGCTCCTGCCAGAAAAAAAAATGACAAAAATAATCTGGAATGACAGGAAGTATCATAGTAGAGCGCAGCAAGGGATAACCTTACCTGTTTGCATTCTGGCAAATGAATGATTTTTAACTAGCCAAACATTTTACTACTTGAAGAGGTGAGGAAGAAAACTTGAAAAATTCAGTTACATAAGATTCAAAATTCTCAGTAACTTACATGTAGAAAGGCTACCAGTGTCTTCCAAAACAGTTATATAATGGAAAACAATTTCCCTCATGATTTGCACCGTGGAAAATCATGAATTTTTTCCTATTTAGTTCCTTCCAGATATGATAGATTTGAATCGCTCTGTTTCACTCAGCACAGCCAAAACCCATGCTAACAGAGACATTTGGGAGCTGAAATCATACAGGTTTGGAGGGAGCCAGGTTGGGAAAAGCTGGCATAAATCACGACACAACATGGAAATATATTCAAACATATGCGTATTGTTAAGTAGTTATCCTCCTTCAAAGATGTAATTCAATTATTCCATGTAATAAAAAGAATTCTGACCAGGCCCTGATATGCTACTTACATGCTTTTGCTTCAGTATTTCAGAACAGAAGTATTATACACATCTATCCCCTAATCATGGCAAGCAAACACATGGATTACCGTATTTTTCCGACA